TTAGCTATCTGTGTAATAAATCAATAATGAGCTAAAAGAGCTGAAAAAACTTTCTGTATTTTTCCTTTAGTAGTTCGCTGATTCTTGTTTATTTCTGTGTACTTTAAGTAGCACCCATGGAATCAAGTTTTTTTGATGCAGACGGCAAAGTTCGAAAGAAAAAAAAAAAAACAATTGTATGTATTAATATTGCTTGTGTTGAGTTATGTAATTCAGCTGATTGGAAATAATCTTTGCTGGTGAGCTCTAAAGATGTATAAATTTAGCTTTTTATGTCTTGCGCTACAGTTGCATATCTATGTTTGTTAAATAGAGGTTGTTTAGGCAAAATTTAAATTGGGTGTCTATTCACTTATGTCAGAAGTGCAAACGGAGGGGCCAACTAGAAGAAATGGTAACAGGGAAAGGACAGATCCAGAGCATACTGGAAGCGGTGGGAGAAAAAGTAATAAACCAAAAAGTTAGTTTAATCTTTCTGTATTATGAAATTTCACAATATCACGTTTAACTTCTTCTATTTTTTCTAGATTTTCCACTTTCTGATCGTTAATTAAAATAGTGGTTTCTTGGCTGGAGAGCACTTTCTAGTCTTGGTTTTACAAAGCTTTTTATTATTCGTGATTGGTTATGCTCTGAAGTTAGATTTTATTAAAACTCTTCTGCTAACAACTGAAGTTGAGGCTAAATCAGTAGAGTTCATGCGAAATGATCAAGATATGAACTATTAAAGACGATTGAGCGGACAATTGTGACTACTCTAGTATAGAAATAGCTTCTTAATACTGATCTTCTGAAGATGTCTGGTATCTATAAATATTGTCATTGTGGCTAAGGTAAGAAGTTCATGGAATTCTAGAAGGAAGTCTTTCGGGTAATGGCTTTCAGTTTGCTTGAGTTTAACTTTTTTTGTGCTATCTTTTCCATTTTTCCGTTTATAGGTATTATTTTTATAAGCTTAGTTGAAGCTAGTGGAGGCGTTGACTTGTTCTTAAAAGCCGCAAAAAAAAGAAAGAAAAAGAAAAAGATCAAGAAAATTTTTGAAGCGAATGGACAGTCGGCTTTTAAAAATTGTTGTGAAACTTCAGAATTATTTTCTTTTGCCACTACTGTTTGTTGCTGGATGTAAGAAAGGTTGAAAAATGATCGTTTCGAGGGAGTCGAAATTGGAAATGCGTAGTGTGAGAAAACGTTGGATATTGTCAGTGATGAATTATAGCGCTATCGTTTTTAATCGGTTTCTAGGGAACGATGCGTTTGCTGAGCGGGTGGAGTACTGATACTTTAAATATATTCATTTCTAATTAGGCGCGGCTTGCAGCCTACGCTAACTAGTATATTTCCGTGCATGAAATTGCCACTTTTGGCTTCAGCCTGTAGGTTTCTCGGTTTTTATTTTTTTTATACTTTTTATTTTTCTGGGTTAAGTTTACTTCTTTCTTCTGAGCGTTTTTATTTTACCTTTGTTGCTTCCACTTATAACTTTCTAAGCTATGTTCCTGGTGTCAAAAATATGCTTGAGCGTTTTGAATTTTAACGATAATGGATTGACAATTTTTAATTTTTTGATTTTTCTTCAAATTTTACCTTTTTAGTAGCATAATTTTTAAGCTGCTCTGTAAAAACACATGGATGAGGATCTCTCTTTCTTTATAACTTCATATAGGTCTTTAAATGTGTTTTTAGTGTAGTGGGTATCGAAGGTTTTGGAAAAGTTTTGATTTCAATGACGAAAAGATTGTGTATTGTGTAGGTCAAAAGTCCTCCATTTTCAAGCAACCAGTTTAATAGTCTGTTTTTTTAACAAGATCATAGTTCGAGAAAAAAGTTTACTATTTGAATTTGTTCTTTCAAATTGTTTCTTTGTTGGACTGAGGGGGTTTAAAGATTTTTAGAGAGCATACAGGGTGAAAACTAATCAGTGTAAAAAGGAAAGTGCATTAATTGACTTTTTAATTCTCATTAATAGTAGAATATTATCTCAGTATTTGTCTTCCAAATGTCACTATTTATTCAGCTTGCAAAACGCTTACAAAAAGGATAAAACTATGATATTTTTCACGTAATTTTGCGAAAATTTTTTTGAATGGCTGCTTTTTTGATATTTCGTAAAAAAAAGAATTATAACTTTCAGTTGCAAAATACTACTTGTACGTTTTGCTTTGAAAGTTCCAGGTTATTAAATTTGCTTTGGAGAACCTTCAAATATATTATTTTTGCATATTTTGGAACTGATTGCGTAGTACCTTTAATTTGAAGAAAAACTATTGATTTATAATTACAAAAAAGCTTTTTTAGTTTTGTTGTTAGTACATAACCTTAACTTTAGATTCACGATTAAGGCAGCAAAAACTTCCTGCATGGCGGCCAATATGGACAATAACTGGTGTTCTAGGTACAACGATTTTCGTTGCTATTGTCTTTATCCCGATCGGTATCGCATTATTATATGCAAGTATGTCAGGTAGTGGTTGATACATCACTGTATTTTTATTGCATGTTGAATAAAGAAATAATTTTTTTAGGTTTTATAGGTATCAGACAAGCTTATTTTTAGCATAAGGGGAGCCTTTTTATGTCTTATTAATCTCCGATACCGTTTTCTCTCTTTGAGAGAATGCTGAGAACCGTATTAGTTTATGATTAATTTTTAACTCATGATTTTTTAGTAAGGGAAAGCATAACTGAGTATACAAATTGTATTAATTCGTCAATTGGCGCTTGCGTAATGGATATAACTTTATTGGAACCCTTTGATGTAAGCGCCATTATTAACTTATTTGTAGGAGTTATTTATTTAGTTTTCTGATGTATTTTTCAACTTAGCTGCGTGAGTTCTGGATATTTGAGCCTCCACATCAAAATAGTTTGTATTACATGCTTGGAGGGGCTACTTATTTTTATATGGAACTTATGGATTTGTTTATCAGTAAACGGGGTTATCTTCTTTTTATCATTGACTTGATGTTAAGGGCGATGTATATTTCTACTACGCACTGGATAATTATTTTCAAAATCATCGGCGTTACGTGAAAAGCCGAAGTGATAAACAGCTACTTGGAGATCTGCAAGTATTGGTCTTTCTACTTTTTATAGGGGATTAAATATCGTTATTCGTTTTTAGTTAGTATGTTCGGCGTGTTTTTTTGCTACGATCGTTGCCCGAGTGACTTATTGAATTTAAAGTAATAAAGGAGCGAAAAGTTTTCAGGACGTTTCTGAGTGTAAGCCATATGATAAAATGAATACTTCGCAAGGGGAGGTCGTTATTGCACCTTGTGGAG